AGACACACACAGACACACACAGACACACACAGACACACACAGACACACACAGACACAGACACACACAGACACACACAGACACACACAGACACACACAGACACACACAGACACACACAGACACACACAGACACACACAGACACACACCGACACACACAGACACACACAGACACACACAGACACACACAGACACACACAGACACACACAGACACACACAGACACAGACACACACACACACACACACACCAAATTGCCTTGAACAAAATTTTCAAATCAACATAAGGCCTCGTAGCGTACGCACACGAAACTTTGGCAGTCGACGTCGCGGGCACCCACGGCCAAAAGACATATGGCTGATTTTTCTGGACCTGCTGCAAAATGAAACCGCCAACACACAGCCCACTCAGAAGAGGCATCAAAGACCGTTGTAAATCAAACATGACGTCAAAGTGATAGGGCGATAGTTATCCCGATCAGCCGAGGAATGGGAACAATGACACCATGCTTCCAACATGTGTGGGCACGCCTGCACGTGACTGGCACGCAGTGCAACACGCTAAGAATGCGCTGTTCCACTCAGGCAAATCAACACACGCAAGGCTTCGTATGGAATGTTTTCACAGCCAGGACTTTCCCCAACCGCTGCTTTTTGCAAGGCACGTTCCTTCATCGTGTGAGACGGCATGAAAGTTTGATAGCGTTCGCCTGACCCGAGCGGATGCGCATACGCATTATGCGTCGTCGGATACGTGACGTGTGACGCAAATCAAACCCACAAGAACCCAAAGAGCACCATGTTGGAACTGTTCACGCCGCGCGGCCAGGCAGGCGTGTCGACCCTCCGGTGACGCAATTGAGTCCGGGCAAAAGGCCGGAGGCAAGGGTCGAGTTATGGCCAAACCGTCGTCGAATTGCGCTGGCAGCTGCACGCCGGGCACTTCTGCAAGTGTTCCACATTTTTCACGTCCTGTTTTGACCAAATTCTTTTTTGTCTTACGGAAACGCAGTGAAAATTGTTACGGGCATCCCTGAATCGAGCTTCGTTTTTCAAGGTTGGAGTTTTGGCGTCGCTCACGCCACGCAGCCTGCGGCGTCTAATTAAGCGCATCAAAGCGTGAATCGCTCCACCATTTGGATTGAGGGCGATAACGGCTGGAAGCAAAACGAAAATGTTTATGATCTGTTGAGCAAAGAAGTGTCCACAGTTCGTTGTACAATGCACCCGATACGTTTCTAGCAGCTCCAACAGGTAGTGGTGAATTGACTGACCCTTGGACACGGCTGGACCTTTCTGCAATGTCATCACATCATGCTGCAGTCAGGGCACGCCAGTTGCGAACACGGGAACGAGCACGGGGCGGCTGCGATGGCAGAGAAATCACCGTTGTGCTTAAGGTAGTACTCATGGCGAAATGATCGCTACTCAACAACGGGCAACACATTGTGGAGTTGTAGTTGCTGTGTTCGGAATTGTGTCATTCAATGATTCCTGGTGTTGCTACAATGCAGAGGCCCAGGGCCACACCAGCACGATGCACTGGAGAATGACGAGGGTTGCAGATGATGAGGCTTTGAGGAGAGAGCCAAGAAGGTAAACAATTTCCACACAACTCCGATCTGCTGCACGCATCAACCAACCCTGGGAGGCAAAGTTGCTATCCCCTGCAATGACAATGGCCATGTTTGGGAAAGTTGCACATGCTTCTTGCAGTGACCTGGAGGGACCTCGACAGCTCGCTTGTGCAAGGCAACCGCCTGGACACGGTAGGCGAATCAGCATCATAGGTCCCCCACACTTCGGCGAGACTGCCGAGCTTTGCACGCTCTTGCACAGACGTAGCCGTGCGAGTCGCCCCCCAACGGGAGGACGATGGTAACGGTTCCGAGACCGATGCGGCAGTTACACTTTCGGACGCACCGCCGTCACTCCCTTCGCTTCGAGGCGACCGACCCCGCCCTGTTCACAAGACTTGCCGCCGAGCGAACGAGAAACCATGCCGAGCCGTTACCCTGCAATCATGCTCGCCCGCCATCGCCCGCCGAGCTCAATGCCCGGCGAGCGAAAGTCGTAGTTGTTCGTCCCCGTGTTGCACGCAGCAGCGGGCAACCTGACAGCGCGAGCCAGCCAAGCGTGGCGATCTTGCCCGTGAGCTCGTGACCCTGCTGCACGACGCCCACCAGCCATGCCGACAGGGCTCGCTGGGACCTTGCTCGCGGTGGCCTCATGACGGCGGCCGGCACATCTTTGTGGGAGGACCACGCAACGGCGACAGCTCTAACAGCGATGC